AAAGTGCCTTTAAGTTCAGCTAAGCAGTCTTACTCGACAATTGAAATAGTATTTGGATGGTATTTATTTAATGCAGCTCATGCTCACAAAGTAGAGGAGAGGAACTCACAGTGCAAGCACATCTCCCACTCAATCTTCTCCATCGACCAAAATCCTTGTCCAAGACCCTGTCATCTCACTGTCTGGTTAGGAGACCTCAATTACAGGATAGAGGGGATAAGCAATCAGCCTGCAAGAAGCCTGATACGTAAAAACCTTCACAGTGTAAGCATATTTACCCTTTGTTATTCAATCCTCATATGAAGGCAACAGTAACTGAAGTAGACATGCATGTGGGTCCCAGAGTACATATAATACATACCAAATTCCTGAAGACCAGGACACATTAATGAAAGAAACAAAGAAAACTAAATATAGCTCATAATCAAGTAATTAAATCTGTCAACAGATCCCCCTAGTACACCAAAAATCAGAAGTAGTAGTACTGCGGGTTGACGCTTATAATTTTATACTCTAACACGCCATTGCAGGTTGAAAGCCATTATATGAGCCAAAAACTGGACTCACAGTGCGGTATCTATTGGCTTTAGAAATTCGTGGTTAGTAAGATTCGACTTTGGTTGCTACGATACCATGTCACTGGACCCGTGACTACACCAGAACTCCGAATTTTTGATGAGGCAATTTTGTACTCTAACAATATCAAACAAAATAAACTGAAAATCCAATCGAATAGTAACCCCATACATGCTTATAATGTCCCACACATATTTACAAAAATCCCTAAGGTCTCATGAAGGCCATCCTGCTTACATCAAAAGGCCCTTTTACGTTCTCTGAACAGCAAATGGCTCTAGACTGTCTGATGTGTAGCATTTTTGGGTTTTTTTAACTTGTGCAGTTTCTTTTTGTGTGCCAAAAAAACCATCTTTTTATACACAGAAATTTGTGATACAATATAAACGTTTGTGGAACACATTCTTTCTTTTTCTTTTTTTCTTTTAATTTTATAATATCCTACTTCTTTCAAATATCAAAGGATGAGAAAGTGCTTCGACTCCTGGCTGTTTTGCGTGTTATTACCAAGATTAAACACCCCAGAGTAACCGCTAGACTTGTTATAATCATATTGGCCATTTCAGATCATTGACATCACATTCACCACGAAACCGTGTCAGAAGAACAGTATTTTCCGTTTTAGCTTAGTCATATATTGCAAAGCAATCCGAGAGCAATTTAGTAATCAAGTCTTATTCTATAAATTCTCTCTCTTTTAATTTGTTTTTGCAATGGCCTAATAGTCGTTGTGAATTATTCATTTTATCTCACAGGTACTCACCGGGAAAGATCAACTTCTGCAAGAGGCTGAACGAGGAGAAGTATTCAATGGCTATTGCGAGGGGACGATATCTTTCAAGCCTACATACAAATATGATGTAGGAAGTAGCGACTATGACACGAGCCACAAAGTACATTTAGTAGCTTTACGTTAGTATGGAAAATTGAATTTCAAATATAACTGATCGGTCACTGGAGTTTCATATTTGGTTTTTTTTTTTTTTTTCCTCTCCTTCAGATCAGAGTACCATCATGGACAGACAGGATCCTCTTCAAAGTTGAAAATCATAAGAGCATTCAAGCAGTTTTGAGCACATATGAATCAATTGATGACATCAACAGCTCTGACCATAAACCAGTGAAAGCTCATCTCTGTTTGAAAGTAAACAGCGTATAAATCTCTTTCGATCGGTTAAGTATTACACTTAGCTTCACAAGTAGCTTCGGGTAGAGTTTCGATAAGTTGATAGGCCTGGCTCGTTATCAATCTCTTTGTTAATGACTTCGATTTCATTGGTACTTAATCTAAAGTAACATAAGTTACGTACCAGGTAGAGGCCTGGTTATCCAGTAATTAGTGAATAATACAAGTTGTTATTTCCCCCTCTTTCTTTTCTTGCTTTCTGATTGATCTTAAACCGAACGAAAAGCTTTCTTTTCACTGTACTTTTATCGACCTAACATCTTAATCTGACCTTTTGGGCAATCAAATTCTACATCTACATCAATTCCGGTAACAAAAGCCGCTAAAGCAATCGCTGTTAAGTCTGCATCCAGATTTGAGAAGACTTAATTTAGATTTTAGGAATTTAACGAATCAATTCCTCTCTCTTTTTTTTTGGGGGGGTATAAAGGAAGAACAAATCAATTCTGGTTAGAGATAGAGGGGTCATACCACAATTATCAAATTTCAGAAGCACGGAGATGAACTCAATAACATACAAAATAATCCTAAAAGCACAAAAAAGCAGTGACTCGAAATATGTGTAGTACTGTTCGATTCACCTTCATATTAAAAGTGTCTCTACTTCATTGAGCTAAGGACTTCAATTATTATTGAATTTGAAATCCTATACTAATATATTATGATGTTGAAAAATAATCCAAAAGTTCCAACCAAACTTCATCACGCTCCTCTTCTTGTTATGAAAGGCCAGCAACCGTCACCATGCCCCTCTCATCTACACTAAATCACATTCATGACCTCGTTATGTCTCGATATTATTACGGCACACTCCTAATCAAATGCCCCACATTCTAAAATTGGTAAAATAGAAAAAAATTAAGGGGGTGAAAAGGCAAAATCTCTTGCTTTCAAGGTTTATCTTGATGAAATAGTTATCCCCAAAGAATATAATTGGGCATTGAAGAGATTACATGAGTCAAATTAAAGAAATATTGTCAAAATTTCTTCTAATTCCTCTTCTAGTTATTAGTACCTAATTAAATCAAAATGTTCACAGCAATTGAAACAAAGAAATTGAGCACATGGTGAGACAGAGGATTGCTCATTATGAATACAAAATTGTTATGGGGTATATCTGTTCTACGGATATATGATCTCATAAGTCGACATTTTGACTAGCCAGACAAGTCAGCACTCTTGTGTCGACGACACGAAAGGCGATGTTGGTCGGCACGAGAGATCCTGACTTCCCTGACGAGTCGACATCTCTATATTGACTTGAGAGACGGTTGTTAGACGGTACAAGACGACATTCCGACCAGTCGGGCAAGCCGATACTCTTGTGTCGACACGAAAGGCGGTGTCAGTCGACACGAGAATCAGCGACTCGAAGATATGACATTATAGGTCTTGCTTCTCGACGAAGCTAAGAGGTTATTCTTGCCTCGAACCTATCGGCATAGGTGTCACTTCTCAACATTGTTTAATATTCGGTGATCATCATTATGTCTCCATCCTCAACAGTCTTGAAGACTCGTCGGACTGCTAGTTACCAATGTTGCTGAAGTGACCTCACGTCACTCATTAACCAACACATGTAGAGCAAATGATAACTCAACTTCCAGCTCACCCCTCACCACCTTCTTACTGTACACTCATGAAGTGGCAATTTGCCATTGGCATCCCCTATAAATACAAATGCTATTCAACATAGCCAAAGGTTCGTAATCTAAAACCCCCTAAAGCACACATTGCACAAAAATAAGAAGACACGGTTCTTCTTTAACTCCACTCAAGTTTATCAACTGACTTGATCGTTGGAGGTATCACGGAGGAACTCATTTCTGCCCTCTTACGACTCTTTGTGTGCAGATTGCTCGGCCATCCTAAATTCCAGAATCAGCCATAAAGTCGAAGAAGAAAGTGACCCTCTTTTCTTTTATAAACTTTGTGACTTTAATTGGCTGTGTGATATTTAGCATCAACACAAATGTTTTAGGATGAAATTTATATATGAATACTTAATCAAATAGAAGAATTCTCACCTTTCTCATAGAAAATTACCACCATTTTCTTTCCACGGAAAAGGTGAGAGAAAATACATGTGCGAGATAGAGCGCGCGCGCACGTGCTTAAATTACATGCGCGTATTAGCTTTTCCCGGTGTTGAATCCCTTGAAGCTTTGAGATTTTGAAATTAGTCCCTTAAATCAAATTGCTATTAGGTCCTGATTTACGACCTGTGCTGGACTTTCTTTATAGCCCAAGTTAACCCGCTAGCTAATGGAAGTTCGTGTGGGCCTAATCTGGGCCAATTTGTAAACGTAGGAGTTGCATTTTTGTGGTACAGACCTAGTAGTTGCATTTAAATTATTCAAAAAGTGCCCAACGACTTTACAAAATAAAATCATGCAGGGGCAAAGTAAACGTTCTACTATCTTTTTTTTAATGCTCTACTATCAATTTTAGTCGGTACAAAGAATACATAAATTAAGTGTAAATATAAGTATCAATACAAAGTACAAACAACTAAAATTCTTGCATAAGCTTCTATGTAGGGCTCTCTATAATATTCTTTCCCCTACTTATTTCACGTCACTTCTCCATTTCTTCTCCTCTTACATCACTCTATTTGGAGCTCCCCCCATCTACATCATCAACCTTGTTTTCATCTCTCTCTCTCCCCCTCCCTCTGTTTTTTTTACCACGTCATGTTCCACTCACGTAGCCTCATTCTGATTTCTGAGTCCCCAACGCACCTTTGTTCACATTGGGATGCAATGACATTTCTCACCAATTACGCCCTCTTTGTTTGCCATAAAGAGAAAATAAATAAGGAAAAAAAAAAGCTTTTTTAACGATATTAGTCCCTTACATATTTAGTATTTTGAACTTAATTCCTCAAACCGTTACTAGTAGGTTCGTCAATTCTTATATCATGTTAATATTAATATAGATTGAAGAGATTAATTTGAAGCAACTTATAAGAATAGGGAACATAATAGCAATTTCAGTAATTTAAGGAACCCAATGGCAATTTAAATGATTTGTTGTTTAATTTAATTCTATTTTTATTTTTTTGGGAAACAAATTTTAATTCCATATCAGACCCCACTATCTCTAATGTGGGCCCATTATTTGTCAGCTTTGGTCTAACGCTACCCTCATACTTTTTATTAGATTCTCGTTATTTCTTTTCTCCAATTAAAAAAAAATAAAAAAATAAGCCTCCAACCACAGTTTGAATAGCCGACAAAATACTAAAATTTTTCTATCTTTCTCGTTGTTAATGAGAAAAATTAAGAGGACCCACTCTTTAAATAGCGCCAAATTCAGTGAGAACGACCTCCAAACCCACGATCGAAAATAATTGTAAGAGCTTTTCTCTCTGCTTTTGACTATTATTTTTCGAATATAATCGAGGCTCTAGATAGTCCTGGTGCTTTTTGATCCATATATCCGCTTAATTACTTTAGATTCTGCTGTTTTTCTGCTTGTCTCTTTCTTTTAAAAATTCGCTGAAGTTGTCAGTTTTTGTCGATAAGAATGAATTCAGGGGGCTCTGGTGGTTGATTCCTTGTGATGATCGGTGATAGATTTGGTGAATTGGGCTCTAATTTTATCTGGGTATTTCTCAGATTTGAAGTAAGGATTCTGTGCTTTGTCTCTATTGATTGATCTCTTTGTTGGTTTTTTTGGGGCGTTTTATTCTTTCTTTTTTTTTAATGAAATTAGAAGCTTGATAAATTTCATCTCTTTTTTGTGTTTTATTTACTAATCCTGTTTCTAGAGTCAAGGAAGTTTGCTGGATAAAGTTTTAATAGAATCTGCTTCTAGAAGTTGTTAATTAGTGTTTTTCCCCCTGTAATTTTGCATGCCCATTTGTGCTCTTCAAATTTGAAAGTTTTACTAGTAAGTTTTGTGTATGACAAGGGACCCGTCAATAATTTTTGAAGCAGATAGGACTTATGTGTTATTGGTACGGTACAATTAAGTTTTGCTTCATTGCATTAAGGTAGGGGGTTGGTATCCATATGCTGCAATAAGAACATATTCTCTTTTCTATACTGCTTTCAAATTTCTTTTGCTTCATTTTGTTTTCCATTTTTTCTCTCAAAAAAAAATCCCCTTTATTTAGATGAATCTACTGAGCTATTCCTTAGGTGATTAGTTATGTTTTCCTTGTAGTCTCTTCTGCTTTTGGATTAATGTTTCATGTTGTGTATAGGTAATTTTGTCACTAGTACTGCAGTTCTTCCTTCCAAACAATTGCTACTTCTTTGTGTTAAAGTCCTTTTTGGATTAGTAGAAAGCACGGGCATTTTGCCAAAAAGAATTTCTGAATCTCCTATGTGTGACATGTACCAGACAGAAAAATATGTGAACAACAATTTGCCTGAAGCCTGTCAATGAAACTGTAATATTCTTTTGAGGGGTTTTGTTTGATGCCTCGGGATTAATAGTTGAAGCAGAGTTGTTAGGTGTCCGATGATAATCACCTTACTGCCAATGCAAGTCATGAAGATAATTTATGTTAATTATTAGTCGAGATTTTGTTCCCCACCTGCTGTTAAGAGTTTAATGCAAGTGTCCACAGTTGTCACACACATGTTCCACTCTTCGTCTTTGTATTGTATATTGCTTCTTTGGTTTGAACGTTGTGGTTGTTATACTTGCTAAATTATGTTTCCTCCAAGCAGGAGTTATTGAGCTTGTGAGCAAATAAGACATCTCGTTATGGGTTGGTTGAACAAGATTTTTCGAGGTTCCAGCCATAGGATTTCAGAAGGGCAATACCCTGAAAGATACAATCATGATCGGACTTGGAGTGAACCGACTGGCTCATTGGTAACTTTCTAATCATGGCGTATGGACGTTTTTTTAAATGTATTTCCAAGCTTTTGATAGCATTTCTTCATTTAACTATCAGGATAGTGTATCCTACATTCTGTGTTAATTATTGTAATGTTGATTTTTTTTCCCACTTTTTTATAATTAACATACCATGACAAGTAACAAAAACCAATAATACTACACACATTCTTGAATGATGTTTCTTGTCACGTTAACACTACACCTCTGACAAAATCAACTTATCGACTCTCTCCAATAGAGCGATAAGTTCTCAAAATTGCTTCCATAGCAATATCTTTCTTGTCACGTTAACACTACACCTCTGACAAAAATCCACTTATCGACTCTCTCCAATAGAGCGATAAGTTCTCAAAATTGCTTCCATAGCAATATCTTTCTTGTCACGTTAACACTACACCTCTGACAAAATCCGCTTATCGACTCTCTTCAATGGAGCGATAGGTCCACAAACTCGTCAAGTTAACACCACACCTCTGACGACCAAATCAACTTATCGACTCTCTTCAATAGAGCGATAGGTCCATAAAATACTGTTATGTTAACATAACACCTCTAACAGTCAACCCCCCAATGAACTTGTTAATTCTTTCGGTGTTTCAAGCTACACAGGAAGAAATGACACCAAAAATCCATGCCTTCACGCATGGGGGACTTTATTTCGATCCCTAATTAGAGATAAGTCTGCATCTAACACATGCTGCCGGGTAGCCTATTCCCGTAATAATAGCAAAGCCTACGTATTCAATATCGTAGCAGGTCGTTATTAATAACGCCAAAATCCATGCCTTACACGCATGGGGGAATTTTATCCTGAATCCTAAGTAGGGATAAGTCTACGCCTAACACGCGTTGCCGGTTAATCTTTCGCCGTGAAAAAGACATCAGGATTCATGCCTAGGGGAATCTATCTCGACCCCTAAACAGAGATAAGCCTGCATCTAACACATACTGCCGGGTGGTCCGTTCCCGCGAAAAAGACCAAGTCTACGTATTCAACATCGTAGCACCAAAATCCATACCTTTCACGTATGGGGGACTTTATCTTGATCCCTAATTAGAGATAAGTCTGCATCTAACACATGTTGCCGGGTAGCCTATTCCCGCAATAATAGCAAAGCCTACGTATTCAATATCGTAGCAGGTCGTTATTAATAACGCCAAAATCCATGCCTTACACGCATGGGGAATTTTATCCTGAATCCTAAGTAGGGATAAGTCAATGTCTAACACACGTTGTCGGTTAGTCTTTTACCGTGAAAAGGACATCAAAATCCATGCCTCACACGAATGGGGGACTTTATCTCGATCCCTAAATAGAGATAAGTCTACGCTTAACACGCGTTACCGGTTAGTCTTTTCCCGTCAAAATGACAAAGTCTATGTATTCAAAATCATAGCATCGAGGGGTTTTGTTTGATGCCTCGGGATTAATAGTTGAAGCAGAGTTGTTAGGTGTCCGATGATAATCACCTTACTGCCAATGCAAGTCATGAAGATAATTTATGTTAATTATTAGTCGAGATTTTGTTCCCCACCTGCTGTTAAGAGTTTAATGCAAGTGTCCACAGTTGTCACACACATGTTCCACTCTTCGTCTTTGTATTGTATATTGCTTCTTTGGTTTGAACGTTGTGGTTGTTATACTTGCTAAATTATGTTTCCTCCAAGCAGGAGTTATTGAGCTTGTGAGCAAATAAGACATCTCGTTATGGGTTGGTTGAACAAGATTTTTCGAGGTTCCAGCCATAGGATTTCAGAAGGGCAATACCCTGAAAGATACAATCATGATCGGACTTGGAGTGAACCGACTGGCTCATTGGTAACTTTCTAATCATGGCGTATGGACGTTTTTTTAAATGTATTTCCAAGCTTTTGATAGCATTTCTTCATTTAACTATCAGGATAGTGTATCCTACATTCTGTGTTAATTATTGTAATGTTGATTTTTTTTCCCACTTTTTTATAATTAACATACCATGACAAGTAACAAAAACCAATAATACTACACACATTCTTGAATGATGAACAGGCATTGGAAATTAGGAATCTTTATGCCTTGCTAGGCATCTAGTGCAACAGTCAGTCATCACAATTAGCAAGAAGAAAGGGAAGGAATCACTTAAAAAACAACCCAATTGTGATTATACTACACGTCACAGTAAAAAAAATCCGTCGTGTTTTTTAAATTATTCTAAAAACAACTTCTCTTGATTATAGTTATTTTTGTGCCTCCCTCCATGTTTTATCAATTATGTTTCTTGGTAATTTCATTTTTTGGGATCCTGAATATAGGATGGCCACTCTGAATATGAAACTGAAGATATTGATTGCGCTATTGCCCTCTCCTTATCCGAAGAAGAAAACAGAAAGGGAAAGGACGTTGGTAAGTGTTACGTTATCACCTATAATTACGATATGTATGAAATGATCCTGTTATGTTCTTCTATCTCCTTCCTTTTTTTAATAGGATTCTGACTGGTTCGATCACATGTGTGCTTGGTTTTTTATTGAAAATTGTTAATTAAACAATTTACGTCCTTGTAAATTGTTAGAGCTAACCTCACACAAAAATTCTGATCAAATTGCCTATTATTTACTGGTAGGAAAGGAGGAGGATATATAACCTTTTAGACCACATACAAGAATTAATCTTCCTCTGTTCCTCATTTGGAGAAAAATCCATTCCTTGTTTGTACCATCAGGCTAGAAATCAAATAGAAATACATGGCAGATATTAGCGAATTTTAGACTAAAGGTGATAGTTTTCTAACATTGTCGCAAGTATGTAAGTGACACAAGTTAGTTTCCAAGTCACTTACTCAGTTCATTATATTATTCAAGTAATCAAGAGCAGCATATGAGCATAGTGAATGAAGAGAAATCTATTTCAGCAGATAAGGTTTTTTTTGTGATTTATTAAAGGAGCAATTCTTGTTTTCTAACGATATGCCGGGATGAAGGTTGATTTTTTTTGGCTTTAGGGAGAAAGAGATATCTAGCTGTAATCAAGGGACAAAATTACATTAAAAGTTTCGGGCAAAGTCTTCCTAACACTAGTAGGATTCATGATAATCTATCTATTAGGTACTAGAGAAGGTAAGTATATTTATGAAATCAAGATAAAACATTAAGACAAGCTAGGAGAGTGCTGAAAATTAAATTTAAGGAAAAACAAAGGGATAGATATGGTTTCCCTAACAATTTCTGTTTCTTGTTTCACAAATAATTTCTTTTTCTTTCTGAACCTTATTTTCTGAATAAAATGTGTCATGTCAGTCTGAGAATTTTTGTAATTAAACATGAAAAACTGCTGCAATTTTGGTTTGCATATATAGCATTTTTGTTTTAAGACTGAAGTTTCTTCAGGGGTTTTATTTGTATTATTATTGATTTTCTAGATAATGGATCTTATTTGGAAGAAGATGAACATCTAGCGAGGGCTTTACAAGAGAGTTTGAATGTTGAGTCACCACCACGCCAAAATGACCGCATTCATGAACCACATATATACGATCCACTACCTTTTTTCTTTCCCTCGAGAACTAGGTAATGTTCTTAGAGCTGTTTTGTTCATTACGTTCGATGTACTTGCCATGTGAGCTACCATTTTTTTGTAATAGCAGCTTTAAGGTTTATTCTATGATTAAGAAGAAGAATTGTTGTATCAATAGAAAGAAGAAACAATGCATGTAAAATTGCAAATTGGAGGTTAGAACGATACTTAAAAAAAATAAGTAAACAAAATAAATGCTCTAGTATGTGAATTAACCGGAAAAAAATATAATCATCTAATTGGGATTTTGGTTTGTGGGACAGCCAAACCTTATCAAAATTTGCCTAGTCTTGTATTTTGAAAGAAGAGCAGAAATGAAAGAGGTCAAAGTAATCAGTCCCTAAATTGTGCAGGCATTTCAATTGGCAGCCTTAGGTTGAGAGGAATAAATGAAGGCTCACAGGGACTCTTTCTATTTTAATGCGGGCACTGAAATCCTACTCCATTTGCATGAAAATTATCGTTGTTTTCTTTTTTTCAGGAGATGTGCTGGGTGCAATGGCGAAATCGGCAATGGCCGCTATCTCAGCTGTATGGGTGCACTTTGGCATCCCGAATGTTTCCGTTGCCATGCCTGTAACAAACCTATTTCTGATTATGAGGTAAAGTAATATTACTTAACTTATAATCCATAGAGAGCTTGTCCCTTATACCTGCTTATTTTGGCTCAGTTTTCTATGTATGGGAATCACCCCTACCACAAGTCCTGCTACAAGGATCGCTATCACCCAAAATGTGATGTTTGCAAACAATTTGTAAGTATTTGCCACCCCTAACTTATTAATATTTATTGAAATGGTTTGTGTTGTAATCTATTAGAAGTAATGATCTAGTTAATTAGTATCATTCATAATAATTTCCATAATAAGATAGAAATTGAAACTTGATATCGATATGACACATCGACACAGTACTTAGGAGTTAGAAGCCAGAGAGAAGCTATAGTCCTTTCGACGGCTTCAATCCTCGATTACAGTTAACATTTACTATCCACCAATATCTGATATATGAACTATATTATCATTGCTCTCAATTCTCCATTATCAATAACAGCACATATCAAATATCATTGATGTCTTTGTAGATTCCAACAAATTCGAATGGCCTCATTGAGTATCGTGCACATCCTTTTTGGCTACAAAAGTATTGTCCTTCACATGAGAGCGACGGTACTCCAAGGTGCTGCAGTTGTGAAAGAATGGAGGTTGGTATCAATTCATTTCTTGTTTGTTTTGCATATGAAAAATTTCTCTAAGGCTCATTCCAGATCAAGATTTTTGAACTTTACCTAGATAGGTTACTGACAATATGCTACCAAGAAATGACTAACTTGTGAGGGAATCCTAGTCCTTTGTAATTGTCAGGTGTTTGGTTAGCTGAAAGTATCAGAGAAATAATTTCCCAGACACTAAATAAGATGTAGATGCCTGCTACTTTCTTCTTTGATCCAAATCCTACAGCGGCAATTTCAGTGTTCAGCAAAAGCTTACACAACAACTTGACTAAACTAAAATCGTGTCGTTCAGTATGATGTCACCTATCTGGTTAATTTGCATCTAACCTAACCACTTGTGTTGATAAGGAGGCACATTGACCTACAAGTCTACTGAACTCTTAGGATCATAAAATAGTATGTTATATTACTTCAGAGGATCAAGTGATTTCGGCGCAAAGTTCATAGCCCTTTGTTTCATCTCATGTTTGTTTGCTTATATTCACTTCTACTTGTCATACTGATACTCCAGCCAAGAGATGCAATTTATATCACCCTGGATTATGGTCGGAAACTCTGTCTGGATTGCCTGGATTCTTCAATAATGGATACCAATGAATGCCAACTTCTGTACCTTGATATCAGAGAATTTTATGAAGGTTTAAATATGAAATTGACTGACTTCTGAGGGAATCCTAGTTCTTGGTAGTTGTCAGGTGTTTGGTTAGCTGAAAGTATCAGAGAAATAATTTCCCAGGCACTAAATAAGATCCAGATGCCTGCTACTTTCTTCTTTGATCCAAATCCTACAGCGGATAACAACTTGACTAAACTAACATCATGTCGTTCAGTATGATGTCACCTATCTGGTTAATTTGCATCTAACCTAATCACTTGTGTTGATGAGGAGGCACATTGACCTACAAGTCTACTGAACTCTTAGGATCATAAAATACTATGTTATATTACTTCAGAGGATCAAGTGATTTCGGCGCAAAGTTCATAGCCCTATGTTTCATCTCATGGTTGTTTGCTTATATTCACTTTTACTTGTCATACTGATACTCCAGCCAAGAGATGCAATTTATATCACCTTGGATGATGGTCGGAAACTCTGTCTGGAGTGCCTGGATTCTTCAATAATGGATACCAATGAATGCCAACCTCTGTACCTTGATATCAGAGAATTTTATGAAGGTTTAAATATGAAATTGAACCAGCAGATTCCGTTGCTTCTGGTTGAGAGACAAGCTTTAAATGAGGCCATGGTGGGAGAAAAGAATGTGAGTGAGATGAATAACAAATTCATGCAAAATATGAAATATATCTCGTTTAAGTTATCATAATTGTTTGTTATTTCCTCCGTGTTGGTTGCAGGGTCATCATCATCTTCCTGAAACCAGAGGTCTGTGTCTATCTGAAGAGCAGATTGTCAGCAGTGTAAGATTTCATGTTCTATATCATTATAAGATGTATTTCCTGCCTATTTGTACTAAAAATTTTCTAGCCTAAAATACTAACTACAAAATCTCAATCAGATATCAAGAAGGCCGAGAATAAGAGGTAACAGGATCATTGAGATGATTACAGAGCCATTTAGGCTCATCCGGCAATGTGAAGTAACAGCCATTCTTATTTTGTATGGACTACCAAGGTATCGCCTAGCTGTTTGCAGTTTTATTTTCTCATCTGACCTTGTTATGGTTATCGTTAGCTCGTATAAGTATTCCTTTTAGGTTTTTCCATTTTATTCCTGAAGGCATTCTATAAATTATTGTTCACATTGCGTATTTTATGTTTCATAATGCAAAACTTACATAAGCAATGATGAAACTTTTGACTGCAAAAAATGCTGCACTGCGTATATTTTATTTATGCAGATTGCTGACAGGGTCAATTCTGGCCCATGAGATGATGCATGCATGGCTACGGCTAAATGGTACTTTCTCCACTTTCATTACTCGTTACTTTATATCCATTTATTTTGATTACTCGTTACTTTATATCCATTTATTTTGCCTCGTTAAGCTTTCTAGATGAAACTCATATCTCCTGATAATCTTTGTCCGAATAAAATATTGCATTTAGCATTGTGATGATTGGTGGAGAGATCCTGCCAACTAATTAATTTGGCATTTCGATCAATAGAGATTACTGGATTTGGAAATTACTTGAACTACCTAACTGGATCTTAGCAAAGCAACCAAGGAGATAAAAGCTTCAAAGTATCCATGACACAAGTAGTCTAGGAGAGGGGTTGAAGATTATAAGTTAAATTATTGCAACCTTAGAGGCCCAGATTTTACATTTCTGATTTAAAATATTTACTAAAAACATTTCTCTCTTAGCTATGTGGAAATATTTATTATTGCTATGGTTAATGGCATCGCTTCGTGTCTTAGTCATCCTTTTACCGATATCAACTTCCCTATGCTATTAGGTATCTTGCTTTCTACCATCTTGATGTCATTAACTTACCCATTCCGTAACTAATCACAAATTAGATGAAGTTGAGAGGAGAGTTGGTTGAGGCAGACTTGCTCAGTACGAGGAAATCACAAGTTCAAGTCCTCGTCATAATAAACTAGTCAACAATTTAATCAATTTTATACTATTTTTAACATCATCATTTTATGTCCATGTATATGATGCATGGTAAATTTTGTTCAGAATCTTTTCAATTTTTTGGTCAAGGTAGTTTAGAGATAAAAGTCAAATGCAACATGATTGAACTTTCAAGCGTGTACTTCGGAGTTTGGAGTGGAGTTTGTTGGACAGAGTTTCCCATCAATATAAGATTAATTTGTAATTTTCATCATGGAACTAGTTTTTTTTCCTTTCTTTTTTTTAGGATATCGAACTCTCCCTCCAGAAGTAGAAGAGGGTATCTGCCAAGTGCTAGCTCATATGTGGCTGGAATCTGAACTTATGTCAGGCTCAGGCAGCAGCAGTTCATCCACCTCAGCATCCTCGTCATCATCCACATCATCAAAGAAAGGAAAAAGATCCGAATTTGAGAAGAAATTCGGGGAGTTCTTTAAGCATCAAATTGAGTCAGATTCTTCTACGGCATATGGAGAAGGTTTTCGAGCAGGCAATGAGGCGGTAAATAAGTATGGCCTCAGGAGTACACTTGATCACATAAGGTTGACGGGAAGCTTTCCATATTGATTGCGAGCATGATTTCACCATTGTTTCGATCGTACAAGGAGTATACCCTATATATAGTGCAAGCTGCAGGTTCTACTAAGTTATAAACGCATGCAGTGCTTATACCACAAAATAGAGATAGAGAGAGAGAGATATATA